TAATTATTTTTTTGTAAATGTAAGTACTTTTTTACTATTTTACCACTTTATCGTTCAAAATATGAATGTTCATTGGGTTTTTTTCGAGATTTTTTTCCCACTATTTTAGTACTTTAGCTAGTTGTATAAGTCATAAGAATGTATCCAACATGTTTTATAAAAGTTCAAAAAGTTATTTAACATGTTTTGGATTGTTCAAAGACTTATTTGTTACAAAAATTGTCCAATGACTTGTTTAACATTTTTTAGAATGTTCAAGGACTTATTTAACATATTTTGGAATGTCCAAGGACTAATTTGTTCCAAAAAATTGTACAAGGACTTATTTAACATGTTTTGGAATGTTCAAGGACTTATTTGTTCCAAAAAAAAGTTCAAGGACTTAATCATTCCAAACAAGAAAGTTCATTGGTTTTTATTGTATTTTTCCCTTTATGATATGGTATAGATAGTTAATTTAATACATTTACACAAAATCTATTTCCTCTATTGAACATTAATTTCAAGGGGTTTAGCGTCGGTGAGTAATAAAAAAAATTCTAAACATTTAATTTTAGAAAATTCTGAAAATTTGAAATATTTTACCATCTCTAATTCTCCGGTACTTGCTCCATAGGTGGAGAAAAAAATAGTTTGAAATCTCCAAAAACTTTAATTTATTTATTTTGAAGAATTTGTTAGAGATGCTGATATAATTTTGAATATGTGAAAGAAATGCTTCATCTCTTTTAAAATAAATGTCAGTTTTCAAAAGTAATGGGTTATTTATCAAACGCTTACTTGGTAGGTGCTTATCGAATAAATTTATTTATCGGATGAACATGACAAGGGCCAAAAATCTTATCGGGTAAGAACGATGAGAAGAATGGAGAGTCACCCGGTAAGTGAAGATTACGACTCTTACCCGGTAAATTGTTGCATTCAATACGTTTTGGTGTACTAAAAATTTTACTTATCAAAATAAATTATAGTATTGACTTCTATATGTAAGCACTTACCGAGTAAGCATTTAGGTAAACAGCTCCTAAGTCATACATTTAAATTCTACTCTTAATTATAAAATGAAATTAATTACTATAATTGTTATTAAAAATAACATTATTATTTAATTAATTAAAAAATATAATTATATATATATATATATTATCTATACTATCTTATTAAACAAATTTAACAAAAGTCTTAAAGTCTTAAAATTTTAAATGACCAAAATACCATTTATACTCATATTTTCACTTTTTCACCCCTTCTCTCCTCACATACTCACCCCCTCACATACACTCACCCTCTCACAACCYATTTTTTTAAAATTATAATTTTAAATTTACACTTTATACCCCTATAATTAATTAATTTATTTATTTTACGTTCTTTACTTTTAAATGTTTCATTTTAAACTTTTATCAAATTAACATACATAATCGTATATCAATTAAAACATGTTTAAAAAATACATTTTTATTTTAACAAGTTACAGCATTATAATCGTCTCGTTARTACCTTTGAAATGAGTCCAATATTGAATAGTTTTTGACTTAATTATATTATTATATAGTATATATATTGTGAAAAATATTTTTAATATTTACGATTTATACTTTTACAATTATTTATTTATATATATACTATATATTTTGGGGTTAGGCCGTCCAAATTATATTGTATAATATGTTTTGAATTAATATGTTCTTGGGTTTTTTTTTTTTTGAAATATATATATATACATGTATTAATTCAACCTTAGTCTGAGTTTCTGACAAAAAATGAGGGTAAACAGTTGAAATTTCATCCTAAAACTCATCTTTTTTTGTTTTTTCATGGCTTATGATCTGTCAAATTTGTAGTTTTCTTTATTGGTTTTGAGTGTTTATCTTAAAACTCAAGTTTCTTGGTTTTTTGCTCTTGGTGTAAATCAAATACATTTGTGGAGTCGTTTAAATATGTTGGATTTTAAATAAATTGGATTTTAAAATGTCATACAATTTTTTTCATCGATNTTTTAAAATGTCATACAATTTTTTTCATCGATAGTCTGTAATTGGAACCATAACTCTTATTTATTCAAATTGTATTAATATGTAAAGACCAAGTGTAACATATATCATCGTTAAATCTTATTTTATAAAACCAGTGGAACTTCAAAATCGTTAAAACTCATGGCTCTCACCGCATTGCGCGAGTACACAACTAGTATATATATATATATAATATATATATATATATAATTATGGGATTAATACAAAAGGACCAAATTAAAAAATTTCATGTTCCCAAGATACTTTTGACATATTTTACTCATGTCTTCACTCTTTCATACATCTATGTCTTCTCTCCATCCCCCAATGTGAATCAATGTGAAATTCAAACTGATATTCACCATGAGTTATTAAAAGTTCTTTCATTCATCTTCCCTTCAATTGCTCTAGAACTCTCGGTCTTGCTCTTGATCTCTTGATTATTTGCCCTTGGTGTAAATTGAACACATTTTTTGAGTCGTTTAAATATGTTGGATTTTAAATATATTGGATTTTAAACTATCATACAATTTTTTTCATCGATAGACTGTAATTGGAATCATAACTCTTATTTATTCAAACTGTATTAATATGTAAATTAAGACCAAGTGTAACTTATATTATCATTAAATCTTCTCTAATAAAACCAATAAAACTTCAAAATAGTTTAAATTCACGGCTTCCGCCGCATTGCACGGGTACACAAGTAGTATATATATAAGATGTTTAAAATACGAGGTCGGGTTCAATGGGAAGAGAAGTGAATATCTCCAAAGAAAATTTATGTTTATTTCTAACTTCTCCATTCTGGAAATACAATATGAATTATATTATTAAAATATTCAATACTTTTATAAAATTATTTCCCTCTACTATACATTTAATTTTAAAGATTCTCATTAGATAAAAATAATAGTTTCTCTTTCAAATTATTCATTTTTAGGAAGTCCTTCAAATTTGAAAATTTTAACCTTCTCTCCTAATTTTTCAATTTTAGAGAAAGTTTTGAGTAATCTATTGGAACAAAAATATTTTAAAATCTTTGTTTTGGAGAATCTATTGAAAATTGTACAAACCAATCAATTAAAATATTTATAAAAATGTTAGAGAATTCATTTATTGTGATTATACATATGAAAATGATTAAAATTTATTAATTATAATTGATGCTTTATATTAGAAAATAAGTAAAATGTTTATGAAAACATATATTTATTAGAGTACATAAAATGTGGAGATTTGTTTATATATATATATATATATATATATATATATATATTTTAAATGTTTAATGTATATATTAATAAAAATTCAACAATCATATTAAATCCAATAAATAAAAGAATACCGGGTTATTGAATTGGATTAGGTTCAAATAATAGTAACTCAATATCAATCTAATACATACGATTTGAATATTCTATTAGATATCCGATGCTTCAAGCTGAGTTGGATGGGCTTGAATTGAATTGAATTGAGTTGATCCGGTTTATAAGGCCACTAATAAAAAGGAGTAAAAAGACAATGAATGAGAGTAGAAAAGAAAACCTGAAAAGAGAGACTTGGACAAGAGAACTAGGCCACCACATGTGTGCAGGGTCCACAACGTATTTTCTCAAAACACCTGCCCACCCGTATCCAAGTACCTGCTCCATGCCATCATTTCCATTTCAATCACCTCTATTAAATCCCTCATTCTTTATGATATTATATTTCTCTACAATTTTCAAAACATAATTAATTCAGTTTCTATTTTGGGTATCCATCTTTTTTACAGGTTTAATTTTGTGTTTAAAGTAAAAAAGAAAATTATAATTTTTTTAAATTTTTTATTTATAAAGTTATAATATATTAATTTATTTATTTTTGGTAACCAAATTACATTATCTTACCTTAATTGCATCCGAAATAACTTATGGGTGGACTTGGCACAGTATCAATTTTTTTCTCTAATATCATGTACCAACCAATTATAGTTGATATACGAATTCTATATCATATACTAACTAATTGTATTTGTTACCAACTCAATTGGGACCGATTTTTCTCGGTTGACAGTGATTTTGTACCAACTTCAAGTTAGATATACCAAGACTTGTCATTTTATTCAAACCTTGAGTTATATTTTGAATTTCTAGATGCCACATATGATATTTAAACGCCTTTTTAATTACAAGAAATAAATTTTTAGGTATTTTTCATTTCTAGATATAAAAAGATAGAAAATTAAAATACCTTCTATACAACCAGATCTTTTTTGAATAATACTTTCTATAGAAGCAGGATTATAGGATTAATTAATTTTATTTAAAAGGCAAATAATTAATACTTATCTTATTCTGTAAACAAGTTGTATATATGACTCGTATTAAATTTATATAAATATATCATACGGAATTAAATTTTCAGAAAACATAAGACCATTGCTATATTATTTGTGCTTTATTTTTTTTAAATAATTCTTAAATAAAGAGATTAAATGGTCGTTTACTAAACGTTTACCTGTTAAGTGTTTATCGGGTAAATTTCCTCAACGGATGAATATTGTAAGAACCAAAAACTTACACAGTAAGAGCAATGATAAGAATAGAAAATCTTACCCGGTAAACGGAAGTGACGACTCTTACCTTGGTAAGTTATAATGTTGACTCCTACTGATAAACGCTTACCGGATATATAAGTATTTGGGTAAATGATTCTTAAGCTTAATGTAAAGAAGGAAAATAATAATATTTATGGATGTATATTCTTATTTTATATAAAAAGAAAGTGTATTGAACTAATAAAATCATAATATATTTTAACTTAACTCGTTTTGAAATTCCAAAGTATACGTAGAATTTATGACATAATAATACGGGTCCTTACTAAATATTAACCAGATAGGTGTTTATGACAGATAAGAGCCGCTTAACAACAAATTTTATTATGTAATTTTGATAACTCATAATCTACTTGGTAAGGTAAATAAGGTTATCCGGTTAGCGTTTATTGGACATAGACATTTACTGATAATTTTATTGTATCATTTTGATAGTTGATAATCTTACTCGATAAGTATTAGCGTTATCACAAATTAAAAAAGAAATTAGGGTTTATCTGTAGCGTACGGACCTGAGTAGTGATGACAAGAATCCAACCAGCTAGAAAGGAGATTTTCCGATGATAGAAAGCTCTTATGATATCGACGATCCCTACGGCATAAGCTGTTCCGCTTCCAAAAGCAGATCCAGCATTTGCGAATATCGAAATAAGAACATGTTCTTTCATGTTAAACGGCCCTGGATTCAGGAAAAATTCTTGCCCCAAAACAACAAACTTGTTCGTCGGAAGAGCCGACGCCATGAACCGCCCCAGCGGAAGAGTGGCGACTTGAACGGAAATCATGGAGATTATCAGAGGTTCAGTTCGGTAGGCGAAGAATGTGTTGAGAAACGACAGGATTGCGCATGAAAGGATTCCGAGGAACCACATTCGGAAAGTCCATACCGGCAGTGTTGGATCATCCGTGGTGGCGACGGTTAACCGGACTTGTTCGATCAGTACTGAATCTTCGTCAGAATCAATCGGTTGTGCACTCTCGGTTTCCATGGTGACTTACGGGAGGAGTATGAAAGTTGTAAAGAATATACGAGGAATTGAAAGAAGTGGGTTGCTATTTGCACCTCCTTTAGAACATCTTCAATGGATTCTTCAAAATTTTTCTAATAACTGTTAATATCAAAATCTGATTAATTTTTGCATTGAAAAATATAAGAAATGAGTTTTAATATTGATGTGTATTCAATAATATATAGGAGTCAAATTAATCCCTTGTAAAAATCTGTGAAAATATGAAGGAATCTGTTTAAATAATATGATTTTATATTTTAAAAAGATAGGGTTGGCTTAAATTCGTCAACAAAATGGAATCTGGAAAAATAAACAATATTAATTGAATTAAGGGTAAACTAGGAATTTCGTCTATGTGGTTTTTTGGAAAAAAAAACATTTTTTGTCCATATAATGTTAAAATTATAAGATGGTTATCGTGGTTTGTAAAAAGTTTGAATTAATCCATATCTTTAATAGTTGTTAAAAAATACCGTTAAATGAAGGATATTTTATTCTTTTAACGCAGTTTTTGTCTTTTATTAAATCAAAATTGATTTTATGATTTTGGTCTTTATGGTTTTTATTTGGTTAAAGACAAAAAAATCGGTAAAAGAATAAAAATGTCTCTGATTTAATAAGATTTTAAAATGGTCGTTAAAGAAAAGACCAAATTCAAACGTTTTTGTAAATTATTTTTATAATGTATCAATTTATTTTTTTAAATTCCTTTCAAAAATAAATTATTTTTTAAATCTATATAAAAATATTTAATTATTATTTCTATTTTA